CTTTCGGAATCAAGAAAAAAATCCATGTATTTTTCCCTCTCTCGAGATACTAAGAAAACAGTGAATAGAAATGGTACCATAACTATATGATTTTCATGCTCACGTGGAACAATATTTACAACATTACTCAAGAAGACTTTAATTGTTCCAGCAAAAATTTTTACCATTGAAAGACTATACTATGCACAGCCGATTGACATAGTTTTCAATTGGCAATATCTTAGTCTGAGAAAATTTATACAAGCCACTCTTCCATATACAAATCATCCATTTGTATTACTAGTTTGAATACGAATAACTTGAGTAAAAATGGGTCAGGATCGTTCAGGAATTACTGTATTATGTCACCCAACGATTACTCATGAATATTGTGCAGTAGGTCAATTATGAATGCAAGGACCTAAGGATGGCCTAAAAACTACCCTAATGTATCTCTGTCCTCTTTGATGTTTTTGTTTGTTTGCTTCGATAGAGTAGTTCGAAAAGTACGGCAGTCGAGTTCGAAGTTAGCTGCACAATGGAAGAGCAGAAAGAATGAAATGATATATTCTAAGTTGTTATTCATAACCTATTCTTTTGGTCTGGTCTGACCACAATCAACGGATACAGAGAGAAATATACAGATTTCTCCATTATCACAATAAACAAAAGTGTGTCTTAACATTACAAGACAACACCAATAGATCCTTATAATTCAGTGGATTCTATTCAATCAGTATTACTTATTCATTTGAGAAAGAATTAAAAACTGTGATTAGGTTTTTGATATATCACTATAAGATATGTTTTGTCTGCTAACAATGTTAAACTTCAATATGTGCAATCATATCAGAACTATTAGCAGGCTACTTTGTTCTACCATAGCCTGGTTCGAAATGCTTTCAGGCCGGTTGATATTTCGAATTTGACGAATATGTTTAATGTTAGCGCTCTTCATTAATATATGATTGTATTTTCAGTTGCTCATTTAATGAGATAATCTTCCTTTCCTAATCGAAAAAACCTTTTTTCTCAATTTCAAGATTTTTATTTTTAAACATATATTGAAGTGTTCTTCATCAAATGTCTTAAAAATCAGAACTGTGCGATGCCGTATAAACCTTGAAAAAGCTAAGTTTCGAGAACGTTTATCTTGAAAAAAAGTCTGAGGCTTTTTAGGTGGCAATCGTATGAGTTTATCTTGTTTACTAATTCCAGTAATGTTTCTCAGAAACAGCTCTTTTTATTTACATTTGATGCACAATAAATGATAATCTGTATATAATTCAAAATGAATAAAACAGCAAAAGATACATATGAAAAAAAAAGTTGTCACTTTGTCTTGCGTTTTCTTGAAATCGTTTTTTAAACAGAAAAGATGAAGTCTTCCTCCTTTTTCTTGCACACGGTATGCTCATAGATCTCAAATTTTGTTAAGAGTACTTTGATCAAATTGAGTAATATGCTTTTTTTCTTCAAAGTGCAATTCCTGCGATAATCTTCAGCCTGTCAACTATTACTACCATTGAAAAAAGAGCGTTTTATGACGATGCTTCCAGCAATTTGGTACTTCTGAGCATTCGGAACAATATTTTTGAAGTAAAAACAGTACTTACCGCGATTTGACCTTAATTGCAATGATAAGGATTGCAGCTTGAAAAACTGAGACACAGAGTTTTGTAAAGGAAAACTTTCAGCTATTTGCTGATCTTTGCGACCTCCATATCTTCCTGAATCAAACGTCTAGGAATTTTAAGTCTATGACAGTTTTCAGTCTACTTTTCAAGATTTATCTGCTGTGAAAGTTGCATGGTGTCTTATCGAGCCGTTCCCTAAGAAACCTCAGAAAAAGAAGAAGGATTGGCTGAATTTATTTCCATCAGGATAACATAATCATAAATTCTTGTATGAAATAGCAGATCAAAACAAAGCGACAATAGACGAAGTTTTCATAATAGAAAGACTTGAATTAATACAATATTTTTGAGCATATCAGTTCTATTCCGTAAAATCGAAAAAATTCAATCATGATAGCAAAAACAACATTGGATTAGGACTATAAGGAAGAGACAAAAGATAACGCACAATGAAAATATAGGAAATAAACGACACCTATAATAATTATTACTGATATTTACATTTGAAAATCAATATTCTCAACAGCACGAATACAAAATTCATCATGGAATTGTTTTGGATCTAAACAAGTTCTTCTATCTATCAATTAAAGTCTTTCGACATTCAACTAATGTTTGCTTCAAATATTGGTTGCTGAATTTGAATAGATTTGTCAAAATGTTCTTGAATAGTTAAGTAATGCATCAACATGTGATTTTCAAAACGTGAGAGCAGGGCATATAGTCTTGATCTGACCCGACCTATTCACCAGGCATGATATTATAGGGACGGAGTAGACTAGGCTAAAGTTTCAAATTTTCCTCTGGCAGGCACCTACTAATACAACAGTTCTGAATCCTACTTTGTTTATATCTACCCTTTTTTTGATTATATACTCTTCACAACTTTGAATGTTTATTCATGCCAAGATGAAAATACAAAAATTTCAATATCTCTAACAAAAAAGTCGACTGTTAAATAAAACACCAGCAGATTCTCAATGTAATAACCATCTCTTCACAATTAATTGATGGCGAGTTTCTTGATAATGTGAAAATAATCATAAACAAAAGGAAGAAATTTGTGATCGCACAAGTATTAGTGAATATGAAAGGAAAAAATATTACAATATCTATGCTGCCTCGTCAGTAGATCAGAATCAAATTCAAAGTTTGAGAAAAGTAATTCATAATGACTTAAACAAACGAATGATAGAAATTGGTAGTATCTTGTTCATATAAAGAAAAAAAGTAGATGCAGGTCTTTAGGAATATGTATAAATATGAATTTTCACATTATTTGAGGTGACAAAAGTCTAAGGTATGAGAGTAAAGATGCTGCATTTTACCAATCTTAAGAAACAAATTCCTTGATATGCACTAATTTATTTACGAAAAACGGAAAATAACGATTTCTTGTTGAATGTAATGCAACACATTCAAGAAAATATAGATAAATTTTTTTTGTTAACTGTAGTTTCCGCATTGATACGCTTTTCTACCTTTGAACATGATAAAACTTGTCGTACAAACGGGTAAAAATGATATTTTAACGAAATTTTAACGCTATTTTTAAAGGATCTTGTCTTACTGGGTAGTTTGATCGAAAAGAATATCTAGAAGATTTCTGTGATAATGAAGGATGAAAAGTCGCTATTGATTCCCTTGTTGCCTTATAGTTGTTCATCATAAAGTAACTATTCAACTTTTATTAGATCATCATAAAGTGTAGCATGAAGAAAACATAGTCAGTTGTACAAATTGTTTGTTTCACATAGTAGGGCGACGGAAATATTGCAAAAGATAATCTGTTCTTGAAAGATTATTGTTTAAAATAGCTAATTGTAATGGCATATTATAATTATCATCGACATGATCAAACTTCTCTGAAATATGGATTGATTCTTTCAGAAGATATTCAATGAATAGATCGAATATGTCTTGAGAATTTCTAGCCATTGCAAGAACATGAAAATCATCCTGTCCTCTACTATTGATATCATCCAGAAATTTGTTGAAATATCTTTTTTTCAAGTAAAGTTTTGACAATATCAACATAATTGAGACGTGTAGCATGTAACAGTATTGTTTCATAAAACTCATTTTTTGTTGTTGAAGTAAATCAATCTTAGCAATAAGAATCAATTCTGAAAGAAAACCAAAATGAGTATTCTTAATAGCAATATTAAGTTATTCAGGACATGTTATAGTAAATGGTCGACAGATGCGTAAAAATAGTTTAGAATCGTTATTAGTGAATAAGGTTAAAAAATTAACGATGAAAATAGTCAACATATGAATTAATTTTAAGCTGGGGGTATGTGCATCATGTAGATCCTAATGAGTTATGAATACCTTCACCGCGATGTGGAACATCGCGACGGTATTTTTCAAGACAGTGCTGTAGCTCTCTGCAATAACACTAAGAAAAGTTGTTTTCGAATTTCAACTTGAAAATTTGCTTAGAAACAAACTATGACCAAAATAGTTGATCGTAGAATTAACAAGCCATTTATTCTGTTCCTCTCCTGAAATGCGAACATTGAATCCGCAAGTGTATCAGAGCGAGACGAAAGATGCACTTTAACCATAGTTGTATCTTTGATAGGAGCGACGAAAATTATGAAACTTTTATAATAAACTATAACTTATTCAGGCTTATAATATGTCAAAAATAATCGTTCGCGTTTACTATGAAGATGGGATGAATAATTGATGTTTTTAGTTACAAAATATGATATATCTGTAATCATCGTGTTTACATAAAAAAAAAAACATTTTCGGTTATATTTTAAATTTCAATTTGTCATGAACTTCACCAATAAATTGTTATAATCTGTAATGTTTTCTTGATAACATATGAATCAATATGATTCATTATTTTTTTTCATGCATATGAAGTCATGATCAACATGAACATTACCACTGGCAATTTGCCAGTGGTAATTAACAATACAAAAAGTTTCCTATGAATATCCTATGAAGTAATGTTGTTGGCATCAGATTTCTTTTGTATGATAAGTTATTGCAATTTTCCTACGCCAACCCTCTTGAGTAAAGAGAAAGGAAAAAAACCTGTTATGATAAAAACATTCGAAGTTGTATTGGTTACTTTTTTTTCTTCTAATATACTAATGCAAATTATATGAATCATTCGTCTTTCATCAACGTTCATTGAAGGTAGACAGAATAGAACAGGTACACATTTCTTCAAAAATATTTATTAAAAAATGATACAAAATATGTGACCATGAAAAAATTAAAAAAGCGTTGTTCACATGGAAAAATAAATTTCTCTCGGCCTTTGAAAAACGATCTACATAGCATAAAATGCTTTGTCATCACCAAAGGTTATTTGTCAGTTTTCACATTGTGATCTACTAAAATGAAATTCTTAATTTTAGATTAACAGTTCACATAATGCAGCAGATCATCAGCGTACATAGAAATATCACTACCATCTAAACGTACATCTAATGTTGAAAATTGTTCATTAGTGGTGGATGAATCAGAAGAATCTAGCAAAAAATCAAAAGCACAATTTGAACATCGAAGAGCTAAAGAGAAAAAAGACAAATTTTAATATTCATCCTAAAAGACAACAAAGTTATTTACATGATTGATACATAAAATTAACACGCGCTATTTCTTCACCACTTTCATTAACAACTATAGAAATTTCTGTATTTTCATTTCCCATTGTTTGTATAGGACATGGTGGAGTTTTGAATGCAATTGTTTTCATATCCACAAATTCGAATTGAATTTGACTTTTATTATTTGACGACGAACACTCAAAATATACTTGATATACTAAAAAAGACAAACCAAAAGATTTAGTTATATAACAGTAAATAAAAGCATGATAATAATAAATTACCTTTTCTCCTATCAAATTTTGGAACAACCATTAAAATATCATCACCACCTCGCCAGCAGCCTTTTTTTGGTACACACCTCACACATGGTTCCTCTTTATTTATAGATGTTTCTGTAGTAGCAGTCATTATATGAGAATATACCGATGTTACGTCATAGATAACTGGCAATGGATCATCATGAAATCGTTCAGCGATAGAAAAAAGTAATTGTGATTTTTCTAATTGATACACCCTAATTATTTTGCGAGCATTATATAGATCAGCAGTAAGTGGAATATCTTGTTCATCTAGAGAACAAAACATATTAGTAAATAAGATTTTTTTAAATTTATTTCGTTACCTGTATTTAAAAGAGATAATTGTCCATAATTTCTTAATTCATGTTGGATTAATTTTCTACGAATAATTCGAAAACTAAATTTAACAAAACAATAAACTGAAATATTCAGTAAAACGATTTTATTTTTGTATTTTACCTTTTACGTCCATTATTTAATTCTTCTTCTGATATTGGAAAATAAAGTGTATTTCTAACTACGTCTTTAATAACATCTGATTCTGAAGTATCAATTGGATAAGGATGTATGCATCTCCCAGGTACTTGTTTGCTCTGTACGGTCACTAAAGTTGCACGAACATATAACCTTTGACTATTCCATTGTTTTGGTATCTAGTTAACAATCATGTTAGAAATAAATGAAAGCAAAAGATTTTAATGTTTATTTACTTCGATTGTTGGATATTCCAAATGATCTAGATTAGATTCAGCACGAATAAAACGCTGTGATCGATTACGACTGCGATCCATTTCACATAAATATCTTTCACGATATGATGTTTTGGGTTGAGCAATTATACGAAGTGATGGATTCAAATCAGCCATTGGTTCAGACCAGAACTGAAATCTACAATGTACGAAACATAAATTTATATTCAAATCAAACACCTGACAAACTCTCTGCAAATATATTTACTCTATTTCTCATTCACAATGTCAAAGTAGCAATGCATGACTTTGATCTTAGAAATAATCTTACCGTCTTTCTTTCTTTCTTAATGGAAGGTTGAAATTATCCTAGTTATATTAGTTATAATAATTTATCGATTCCCTAAGAACCTTATTAGTAATCGACCATAGCAATTAAATTTCATGATTTAAATATACCAAGAGGAAAAAAGCGAAAACTTCCTACTTCAAAGACACGCTGAATCACAATGAAGTATGGAATTTTCACTTTTCTTTCCTTAGTTTCTATGTTGACATTTACTTCGACATAATTTATTCTTTGTTTAAACAGATCAATAAGGCTATATGTGGCAAGAAATAAACCACACATGAATTTTCGATCATAACTTGCTTATCTATTGAAGAAAGATGTATCTTCTTCAAATGCAAAATGAAGATTTAATAATCAACAGTGATGAAGCTTAGTCAATAAGAACTAATATTGCTAGTAAGAATTTTCTTTTCGAGCTCTAAAACTATCAATTTCTAATTGATATGAAAATGACTTCGTTTATTAATAATAATATATATGTTGTTTACTTCGATGTGTATCCTGTAAATGATTCATATTGATTGACTTCATGTAAATACACAAAACGCAAATATTGATTTGTCACGTCACTTACTAGGAAACATTCTCAGATGTCCATTTGCTTTTCAATACGAAATTTAGTAAACTTTGTAGATCTTCATGAACTACACTACTAAACAAAAGTATCTTTCCACTTGGATCGTAGTTCCTATCAGAGCTAAAAGTCTGAAAATTCTTGTACAAATATTCTACACATAATACAGGTCAACGTCAACGATAACACTCGTGCAAAATGCAATGCTATACAATGAAGAATGCGAGAATTTAAAAAGCTTACCTGTTCTCAACGTACAAAATTCACAGTGACTGTGGACACCAACTATTATAACTACATGATAACTTCTGCCATTTTGCGCACTGATGTTACTGCTGTTCTATATTATCTCTGGACTATCTACAAGAGAATTTTCAAAATTTTAGCTATCATAATGGTTCAGATTGTAGTGGAGGGATACTTCTGGTCAGTAGTGCATGTCTACGATGAAAAGATTTTGTGACCATAACTTATTTATTAGAAGACAGAAGGCTTCTAGTGAATTTTGACAGTAGGACTCTGGCATTTACAGCAAGGCCATATTTGCAAATATCGATCTACAACTTTGCCTTGATAAAGACGTCAATTAAACTAGCTTTCATGAAAAATTTCAGACTATTCTAACTATATCTCTCTGACATACAAAACTTTTGATACATAGATTCTTTTCTATATGTAATATTTATTGTATGCATTTTTTGAATGCTTCATACATCGAAGAGGCTTAGTCTGAAAACTATAAAGTTTCTTATGTAACCTAGCCTAATCAAGATCTTTATGTAGAAAAAGTTTCAAGTCTAAAATGGAAAATGTGGGACCAAACAAACGAAGCTCACTAAAAACGTCCAATATTCTCAACAATAAGTCACCGACACAAGCTCCTTTTGTTTTTGTAGACATAGTTCACTGAGGCCTTCAAGATGTACTAAATCTCGGCTCAAAATTGAAGGAACATTTGAGGATGTTACTTCGATGACTGAAAATATATAGCAGACAAGGGTGATAAGTTCGTTTTCAAAAAAGAAAAAAAGAGGCATGTTCTCATAACGTTATGATTTAATCACGAAATGAAAGTGATAAGACAGACACATTTTATGATCGTTTATTGATTTCTCGTATGGTTATGATAACCTTAATAAATAATATTATATAACTCATCATTTAAAATTAAATTTGAAAACGAAAAACTTACATCTGTTTTGTGAAAAATTGCACACATAATCAAGAAATAGAAAAACAAGTTTATATTTCTTTAAAGTGATTGTGAGTTTTAGATGTTTCTTGTGAAAAACAAGTGGATCTAGATAGATATAAGAGTTTTACATAGTATAAATTGAAACTATTAACTAATTCGAATTGATCTGGTCCTATTGGGAAAGTACGAGCACTTCTCAAATGATTAACTCTGAAGATCGAAAAAGACGAATGCTTGATCGACTACTGTTTATCGACGAATGTATATTAATTGGAGGATAGATGGGACATCACAGACTATAATAATAATCAAGGTAGGAAAAGCTCAACGACCGTGACGAAAAAAAGAGAATAACTCAGTCAACAAGAAAAACGACAAAAACACAGCCTGCATTTTATGAGGTAGACGAGACGAAATAAAAGACTCTCATAGCTAATAGGAAAGAGAAGAAAGTAAAAAGATAAGAAAAAAGAAAATGCAATGTGAGAAGAAAAAATAATTATAGTACTCTCACGGGTTCGTGCTTGAAGAATGGGGTCAAGCCATAGTGTCCAAGAATTGAGAAATATGAATTCCTAATCTGCCGAGAAATAGTCAGTGCCGCTGTGACAATTCCTAGAGGAAATGGGAATTGACCATTGGTTCCCTTACAATTCCACCTTTCACGAAAGTCGCGATATTGCTTTTTTAAAAATAATTTGTGCATGGAACTATTGATTCTCACAATTTTGCAGGTGAAAACGAGTGTAAGAACAAAAATTATCGTGAATATTCCATATTTGTACCTTTAGTACACAAGGAATTGTAGGGGAACTAAGGAGGAATTCCTAATTCTCAGTCCTTGGATATTCCTGTCACCATGTGATACATGTTTATAGATCTAATTAAATTTTAAACAAATATCTTGAATAGTGGTAGAAGAACGTGCATCTGTTCATTCAATATTTTGTACGAAATAATTCTGAGTTCTCATGAAGAATAGGGTCATTTGTGATTAACTATGCATTTTCTTCTCTGAGAAAACTGATTGATATCATTCTTTTATGATACTTAACCATAAAAAACCAAGACACAAAACTTTCAAAACCAGA